GCACCTGGGTGACATCCCACCTCCGTCTAGACAAAGCCTTTTTCTCAGTTTCAGAGCGTTTGGTTGCAAACTGTGAACAATTCCTTGATTCAGTTTTAACTCGGAAAGCAGTTTCCTGGAGATCTTAAAGTAACCCACAGGAAGAAAAACTGCTTCAACATTAAGAATTTAATTTTTAAAACTTACAAACTCTTAAAATGGAGACATTTGGGGGAAGAGATTCCAGATCCACCGAGGTCAAGATTTACTCTATTTGTGCAGCGTTATAGAGCGTCCAGAAGTTAACAAACTGTTGAATACAGATTCGACTTTCAGGCATTTTCTTGTACGGCTTCAAAATTGAGGCTGTATTTATGACACTGGCACATTCTAGTAGTGCTATGCCCTGCGTGGAGGACGCTATGTAAGTGCAAGTTTGTTGTTGCTTTAAAATGCTCAGCCCAATAGAATAAATGTAGAACAAAAACAGAAGTCACTGGGAACACTCAGCAGGTCAGGCAGCATCTATGGAGAAAGGAAAGTGAGTCAACGTTTCGGGTCCACAACAACAGTGTGAGTGAAACATTCTTTTCAATCAGTGATCTTTAACATCCACCTGATCAGGCAGAGCTTGGACCCAGTTCTTGCCAATCTGCACTTAATACTTTCTGGAATTAGGGAAGCGGGTGCTTCCCTCCAGGGAGAGAGTGCACATTCCATTCCAGACACAGAAACCCATCACCATGATCAGCCGGGCATCTGACACACACAAAACCCCATCATCGTAATCTGTCACAGGAATTTCTGACATGGGCTTCTGACAAGGGAATTTCCCTGTGTCGGTGGCATGCATGGAACTCTCAGTCTGGTTTGGAAAATCTGAAGCACGGTGATGGTTTTATGAGTGTGTCAGACACCCGGCTGATCACGTTAATGAGTTTCCCTGCGTGTCAAATGCTCTACTGCTGACCAAAACCCAATGATCCTGACAGACCACAGTGCCCTCTTCCTCCTGCCTGTGCTGTGTGCTCGTCGCTTGGTTAACAGCTATAAACAGGAAGAGGTTCCCGGGGTTAAAACCAGCTCTTTATTTTTTAGGCGCAAAAAATAGTGCTAAACACGTCCGATCAGAGGCGGAAAACAGGAAATAACCTTGATTGGTTTCCCTCTTTACAGAGTGGATTTCAAGCTGCGTCACTTGCTGGTGCTAAGCTTGTTTTAAAAAAAACACTTTTTAAAGACCAGAGAAAAAGGGAATTCATTTGGTTTTAGGGTGAAATCCACAACATTTGGCAATAGATTCAACTATCAGTCACATTGACAAACTTAATCCCTGACTCTTTCCCAGCAGCTGCTCCCAACAACTTGTAATCATAGTGTCGTTCATTTGTGTTAGTATCTCAGCGCTTAACAGTGGTGAATCCTCACTGACCCCTCTTCTGCTCTCACCCTCCTCCACAACACCCTCTCCTCCATACTCGATACTCTTGCCCCCATCACCTCCCGTACTGTCTCCTACTCTCGCTCCTCCCCCTGGTTCACCACCCACTTCCGCTCACTGAAGAGCCAGGTGCGGGCCGGACCTGGACCTCCTCAAAATCTACCGCTCCACTCTAGCCTCGGCCAAGTCGTCCTTCTACTCCAGGATAATCCTGGAGGCGAAGAACAACCCCAGGCTACTGTTTTCTACCACAACCCGACTCCTCCGACCCCCCCGCCACCCCGCGCAGGTCATCTCCTCCAACCTTCACTGTGAGGAGATGCTGGATTTCCTTGAATCCAAAATCAAGGGAATTCGCTTCGCGATCACTTCCCCTCCAACATCCACCCAATCCCCACCCCCTCCCTCCCACACTCCGACTCCAACCCATCCTCCCCTACACACTTTCGTACCCGTTTCCCCACTCTGTCACCAAACTCATCCTATCCCTGAAACCCACCACCTGTTCCCTTGACCCCATCCCCATTCCACTCCTTATCTCCCAGCTCCACCTCCTTGCCCCACATATCACAGACATCGTCAACCTGTCCCTCTGCTCTGCACTACCTCACCTCTCACGCGGCTGAAACTCTGGTCCACGCCTTTATCACCTCAAGGCTGGACTATGGGAACTCTCTCCTCGCCGGCCTTCCCGGCCCTCCCTCCACACTGCAGGTCATTCAGAACTCTGCAGCTCATGTACTGTCCCGCACCAGACACCGCGACCACATCACTCCCACCCTCACCCTCACCCCCGCTCGCCTCCACTGGCTCCCCATCCCCCAGAGGATCGAATTCAAGATCCTCATCCTCACCTACAAGGCCATTCACGGCCTCGCTCCCTCCTACCTCTCCGACCTACTATCCCCCTACCTACCTGCCCGTACCCTCCGTTCCTCTTGCTCCGGTCTGCTCCACATCCCCCGCCCCAACCGCCCTACCATCGGTGGCCGGGCCTTCAGCCTCTCAGCCCCGAGGCTCTGGAACTCTATCCCCCAGTGCCTTCGCCGCTTCCTCCCTTTCCTCCTTCAAGGCCGATCTCAAGACCTTTCTCTTTGACCGAGCCTTCAGCTCCCCTCTCGACTCTCTACCCCCTCCTTGCTCCCTCCCTTCCCTCCCCTCACCCTGACCATTTCCCCCCAGTGCTCGGGTCCTGACCCAACTGTACAGCGCCTTGGGACGTCCTCCCGACGTGAAAGGCGCTCTATAAATGGAATCTTGTTGTTGTTGTTGTTGTTGTTGTGAAGTTTGACATCAAACCAGGAAGAAAGGGGAGGAGATTTACATTCCCACCACAGACATCAGAGAACCTCAGACTTGTCATGGACACCTTGTTTTTATTAATGCTCTGTCTCCTTCTAATGATATTTTCTGTAAATGGTCTGTGTACAGAGAGTTTTTGTCGCTTTGCTTTAAAGTGCAATTATGGTCCAGCGACTAGAATATAATTTTAAAGTGGTACAGCTGTAACGGCACAAAGTCTGTGACCTGGATGCGTGTTGCGACAGAAAAGACAGACCCACGTGGGTCCTGGAGTGGTAACCAAGTGGTACATTGGAAGGGGAGGAGATTGGGAAAAGGTATCGAGAGATACATTGAAAAGGGAAGGAGTTAGAACAACGTGAAAGGAGGGGATTTGTTAAACTCGCGGTCGCTCTTCATCTTTAGTGTCACCAATGAGGTGCGTGTCTGACCTGAGAGTCTCGCCTCCAGGTCAAGATTGTTTTTACTTTGTCTACTAACTTTGGGTAAAGCTTCTCGTGTCATAGTTATGGTGTCAGGGTTTTTCTACTTCTTAACATTGTGACCATTTATCCGGGCTGTGAAGTGAGGTGCAGGGTTTTACGGACCAATAAAATACCGTTGTGTTTTCTAAAAAGTGCTTCTCGAGTCTCTGTTAAATTCAAGGCGGGATGGAGGGACACAAACAGGTTACTGCGGAAGTCAGCTGTCTGGTAATGCGAAGGACACTGACTGAAGCATCCCATTCTTCAGTTATAAGGCACTGGGGCTACCTGATGTGTTAATTCTGAGAAACTAGAAGTAGAAATACTGAAGCAGGAGCCCTGGTGGTACAGCGGGTAGAGCTGTGGATCATAGACCAGGAGCTCGATGGAGCCAGGGCTGCCTGGGAGGCTAAATTAGCCCCGGCCTGCCCAGGGATAGGGAGGGAGAAACCAGCCGGGTTACTGCCCCTGGTCCCTGCTGGTTCTGTGCATGGATGCATTGGGCAGCTGGGTCAAGAGAAGTCAGACTCAGCTGTGATGGTCTCTACAGGAAAATGGCCTCCAACACTCACTGCCCAGGCTCACACGTGAACAATGGCCACTTGGGGTGGGGTTAACCAGGCTGGGGGCAGAGAGAGAGGCCAGGCCAGGGGCACATGGTAATGGGGAGAAAATGAGAAAAGTGCTTGGACACAATAAATATAATAAAAAAGACAAATATTAAGAAATAAAGAATAAACTGCTGTAAAAGTGCAATAAACTCAACATTTTAATGTCAAATAAAGCCAATATCCTACAAATACAAGATTTCAGTGTTGGACCAGGAAATACAGGGTCCATAACAAACATCAACTGAACCGAAACTCATCACACACCATCAGCAGGAGCTCAGAGTGTAATGCAATATGATATCTGGCAATAAGTTAGAAAAAGGAAATGACACCAGGGTCAAGCTGACCATAAAATCCTGGTACAGATATGTGAAGCTCACAATCACAGCTTTACAATAAACAAAATTGCCCTTCGCCTCCTGCAGAGTCATTTTTCAGTCTTCTTATTCAGCCTTCAAATGAAAATACAGTCTCTCTTTTAGGGGGTTTAACGCGTTGCCTACAGTCACTACATGCTATAGGAAATCCTGTGAAGCGCTTTAAGATGTTTGGTAATACGATAAGACGCACGATTAAATCCCGCTACTGCCTAGCTCTCTGGGACTCTGCCCTGTGAGAGGGTCGCTATATAAATGCAAGTTGTTGTTCTGCTCAGTCTTGGTCTGCAGCTGATCTCAGCCTGACGTTAAATACATCACTAAATTAAGTCAAATTGGAGTCGTCAACAACAACAGCAGCAATTTATACTTATATATTGTTGTAATCCAGGCCTTTTGTTGAATCACTACAGTTTTATAATTATAATAATCCAGGCAGTTGATATTGTGTTTTGTCACGCTAAGTTCCTTACATGGCCAGGATGTGACTGAGCAATTTTCTGGGGATTTGTACATTTAAGATAAAGAACAATAGAATAATCAGTAAATATAGAGCTTGGCTCACAGACCCCGTCTGTGTTTAATTTGATTGCTTTGTCAGTGTGACGTTCCCCAGTGTTATAATAATCCTTGCATTTGATATAATGCCTTTTCATGTCTTCAAGACATCTCAAAGCATTTCACAGGATATACAGTACTGCAAAGTGGATTGACTGTATATTTTTTGGGTGAACACAGCAGCCAATTTGCGCACAGCAATGTCCCACAAACAGCCATGGAGTGAGTGACTGATTTTATTGGGGGATTGTTGGACAAGACACTGGGAGAGAGAAACTCTTTAACGTCCACCTGAACAGGCAGACGGAGCTCGGTTTATAGTCTCATCCATAGTGGTCACATCTGTAGGGTTTGGTCACAGATCAAAAACTGGTCACATGATGGCAGGGTTTGGTGCCAGCCTACGGTGTTGGCCAGGCAGCCGGTGTGTGGCACGGATCCCATGTCTGAGGTGATGGTTAGCCAGCTCTGGCTCTCTCACCTCCGTGATGGTCTCTCACTTAGATCTGAGACATGGCAACATCTGACAGCCATTAGCAGCCTCCCGAGGACAGCAAAACTCATTTGGTAACTAGTAAAGTGCTCTCCAGTGTGAAGCAGCGTGTGCAGTAACCACACATTTCCACCATTCTGTGTGAACTGCCGACAGAAAGGGTATAACTATAGCCTCAATGTTTCATTTTCTGTTTCCCTCTGTACACAATAATCACAGGGACACAGGCATCATGGAAAACCTTTGACATATCTGACTTAAAATGACATAGGTCTCAGTGACTTTAAGAGGGTTATCATAACACAGTCTCGCATGACTTGGACAAAGTTACTACGGTAAACAAAATGCCTTTCAATTCCCGAACTGAAATAAAACATCGCCAACCAAGACGGCGATACCTTTAATCATAGAATCTTACAGTACAGGAAGAGGTCATTCAGCCCATTGTGCCTGTGCCAGCTCTCTGAAAGAGCTATGCAACTAGTCCTACTCCCCCGCTCGTACCACATAAATCTGCACGTTTAATATCATCGCGTAACATTTCCGGAAACATTAAAGGAGTCCAATGTGCAATGTTTCTTAACTGGATTCCTGAACAAATGCAAAAGGGAAATTATACCCTTTGTGTTCCCTCAGAACCACATCACCTTGCCCTCCAGATGTGAAAGACGCTAGACAAATGTCATTTGTTGTTGTTGTTCCAAACACTCACAAATGGATGCTCCAATAACCAGCAGGCCCTGACAGGGCCAGGAGAGGACAGTCCAAGGTGAGAATGTTTACATTGTTCCCGAGTCTTCATTTGAAACTGAAATGGAAACCTTCCCGGTGGCTGGCGCTGTGGGCTAGGGCTGACATGAAGCTGGGAGTCACACGCAGCTCCTGGTTAGCTTCACGTCTAAGAGCTGGTGAACGAGTTCGATGCCATGTGGGATTCCGAGGGTTCGGTGATGTGGGACTGGAATGTTATGCGTCCCAGCAGCTTTCCCATGGTTTTAATCAGTTCCCTACGGAATCGCTTGACGGAGAAGCAGTAGATGATGGGATCAATGCAGCTATTGAGGCTGAGCAAAGCCAGGTTCAGTTTGTGTACAATGTCCACCGGCTCCACAGGCCCACAGGCAGAGCTGGCTGTGGATCTGACTTTGTTTAATGTCCAGGGGATGAGGGAGACATGATAGGGCAGGACACAGATCAGAAACACCAGCAGCATGCCCAGCACCATGGAGCGTGCCCGTCTGCGGTGAGCTCCCTGCGGCTTTGTGGGGTTGTTCTGTTGGGGACTGAGAGATTGTATGATGGAGATGTAGCTGGTCAGCACGATGAGGAGTGACAGCAGGAAGAAGGCAAACGATACGTACACGTAGCTGCTGCGGTCCGCGTAGTCTTCGAAACACTTAGTGAAGCTGGGGTCCCGATGTGAGGTTTGCTGCTCGGTTATAGCGGGGATGGAGCAGGCCAGCCACACCAGCCAGATGGCCACAGATGTGTAGACTGCTCCTTGGTGCTCAGTCAGGAACAGCTTGCGCTTGCTCACTGTGCAGTAGCGGTTCAAGCTGATGAGGATCATGAAGGTGATGGCGCTGTACGTGGCCAGGTAATAGAGAGCTCCAACTACCCTGCACGCCCCTTCCGACAGCACCCAGTCCCCTCTTCTGAAGTAATAAATGATCCAGAAGGGCAGCAAGCAGTTGAAGAGGATGTCAGCCAGGGTCAGGTTGATGAGGTACACACGGATCGCCTTCTTTATCTTCCTGGCTTTCTGCAGGAAGATCAGCAACGCCACGCAGTTACCCAGGAGCCCCACAAACAGCACCACCAGATACACGAGGGGCAAGATAATGTTCTGCACAGGATGCCAGGGGTCACAGGTCATGTTTTGCTCCACGACCCATGTCTCGTTCTCACTGTCGTTCATCCCTGAGCTGGGAGAGGCTGTGGGTGGGGGAGGGGGGAAGAAAAGAAAGTATAATTCTCTTGTGTCTATGCGAGCAATAACATTCTGGGCAAAGTAAAGGGGGCTCGCACTTGCATTTTCAGTGAATCTGCAGTGAGTCGACAATTGCCTACAAAAGCACTTTGAGACGACGACAACAACAACAACACATTCATGTAGTGCTCTTCACACAGGGTAGCATCTCAGAGGTGTCCTCACGTTGTTATGTTAATGTTAACTGTATTGTAAATGTCACTGCACAGTTGCTTCACAAGATCAAAACCTTGTGATCACTAACACACCAAACCGGCTTTCAATAAAACTAACTCTTGCACTTTGATATAGCGCCTTATCATAGTGAAACTTCTCAAAGATCTTAACACGGTTTTCTGTAAAATGTAGCGACTGTGTGTATGTTGTGGGCAACAACAACAGCAACAACTTGAACTTATATAACACCCTCCACACAGGGTAGTGTCTCAGAGCGCTTAAAACAAAGCAATGAAATTTGTGCACTGAAATGTCTAAAAAACAGCCATGTGAGTGACCAATTTTATTTGGAGGAATTGTTGGCCAGGACACTTTACAGTATATTCTGTGAAGTACTTTGAGACTTCTTGAAGACGTGATAAGACGCTGTATCAAAAGCAAGGAGTATTTATTATTATAATTGGGAAAGTTGTGTTTTCAGTTCAGTGCAGATCTAGTGATTTCTGTTGTATTTTGTTTAACATGTGACAACTCACGGGAGGTCAGGCAGGGGTTGGAGATCTAGACTGAAAACCACCACAGAAGGAACAGTGTGTTCATGCGACGTCTCGACACTTCACAAACACCGTGGGACACCACACGTCTATAAACACTTCATTACACAACTCCAGTCAAGATTATGAAAAGTCCCCTCCACTTCCTGCCATGAGTGTTTTCATGTGAAGCTCTCCCAGCTTCTGGCTTAAACTCTCTCTGCAATACCTGTAGCAGAGGTCGGGCAGGTGGATGGGTGAATAGGAAAGGGCCAGTGATAACACGCATGCTCTCTAATATGATTTCCACAATGGCGTGGGAAAATTGGTTGTTCGGGCAGAGGATGTGTCAGTGTCAGAGTGGGGGTAAAGGATGCCTCTTATTCAAGACTGTTTCAGACAGTCTTACAGAGTGGGGCGCTGTGAGTGAAGGCATTGCAGTGGTGCAAACTCATATCCGCAAAGCGCCTCAGTGAGCTAACCCTCAGAGGGGCTGCTCTGTCCTGCCTTCTTCCTGCACCGTCAACTCTCAGCTCCCTACAACAACAACAACAACAAGATTCCATTTATTGAGCGCCTTTCACGTCAGGAGGACGTCCCAAGGCGCTGTACAGTTGGGTCAGGACCCGAGCAGAGGGGAAATAGTCAGGGTGAGGGGAGGGAAGGGAGGGAGCGAGGAAGGGGGAAATGGTCAGGGTGAGGGGAGGGAAGGGAGGGAGCGAGGAGGGGGTAGAGAGTCGAGAGCGGAGCTGAAGGCTGAAGGTCAAAGAGAAAGGTCTTGAGACCGGCCTTGAAGGAGGAAAGGGAGGAGGCGGCGAAGGCACTGGGGGATAGAGTTCCAGAGCCTCGGGGCTGAGAGGCTGAAGGCCACCGATGGTAGGGCGGTTGGGGCGGGGGATGTGGAGCAGACCGGAGGCAGAGGAACGGAGGGTACGGGCAGGTAGGGAGGGGGATAGTAGGTCGGAGAGGTAGGAGGGAGCGAGGCCGTGAATGGCCTTCTAGGTGAGGGTGAGGATCTTGAACTAGACAATTAACAGCTGCAGCTTACCCAGGACCTTCTACACTTCACAACCTATCCTTCTCACCAGCTCGTCCACTGTAACACCCGATCATATTATTTGTGGTTAGTGCTGTAGCTCAGTGGTTAGAGCACTCGCCTCGCAAGAGAGAGGACCTGGGTTTCATTCCCAGCAGGGAGAAACGTTGGGAAAGTTTTGTCACTACACACGCCTCTGTTTATCTAGCAGTAAGTAGGAACCTGGTTATTAGTCAATTGGGGGAATCGCTTTTCAGGGGTAATAATTCCTTCCAAAAAAAATAAAAAATAAATTGGTTACTCAATCCACGACTGTTTGAGGGGCGCTGCTGTGCGCGATTGGCTGCTGCGTTTCACCCATAAAAATATATGGTCAATTCACTTTACAGTATATTCTGCTTTGAGAAGTCTCAAAGACTTAATAAGACGCTAAATAAATGCAAGGATTATTATTATTTGTGCTGCAGAAATTAAGTTAGAATAGTAAGAATAGAACACTGAAAATAACAGGAGTCCAAAACGGAGGAGCCCATTCGGCCTGTCGAGTCTGCTCTGCCAGTTTATTAAACCCTTGTACTTCTTAATGCCCTTACTTCCCCCAAATTTGTCAATTTGCTTTTTAAAACATCCCAATTTACTAAGCGGAGAGTGATAGAAACCTCACCATTGGAAGGAGGCCATTTGGCCCATCATGTCTGTGGTGCTTCTCTGAGCCAGCTCTAACTATGTCCCATTCTCTTCCCCTTACCCCACCTAATGACCATCACCCGTCTTTCCTCAGCTACCCCCGCTCCACGGGCTGAGATCCTGAGCTGGGGGTAGCTGAGGAAAAATGAGTGTTGAAGGCAAGTTAGGACTCTTCAGGCTTGAGAGAAGACGACTCAGAAGGGACCAAAGGTGTAAGCTCCGAGATGCCATCCAGCGTGTAGGACGCTATATAAATGCAAGTTGTGGTTGTGGTGTACAACGTTTAAAATTGGATTGAAAAAGTAAACCCAGATCCATACTTTAGGATGTGCTGAGACAGTAAACAAGAAGGCACAGGTTTGGAGTTGGGAGGAGAGTAGGGTTCTGGAGAGGTGTGATCAGATAGGGCAAAGGGTCTTCTTCATCTGAACTGATCTTATGAGCTTGTCATTGTCATCTATCAAAGGCACTGTATAAATGTAACATTGTTGTTGGGTCTCCACTCCTAGCCAGGCCTATAGTACTTTGCAAATAATAATAATGATAATAATAATCCTTGTATTTGATACAATGCCTTATCACATCGTTGAGGCGTCTCAAAGCGCTTCACAGTATTTATTGTAAAGTGGATTGACTGTGTATTTTGTGGGTGAAACGCGGCGGCCAATATGCACAGCAGTGTCCCACAAACAGTTGTGGATTGAGTGGCCAATTGTTTTCTTCTTGGAGGAATTATTAACCCTGGATCCACCAATTGACTAACAGCTGAGTTCCTGCTGGGTAAACGTGTGGAGGAAGGAAACTTGCTTAAGGTTGTGTCCTACCCAGGAATAGAGCACAGATCCTCTCAATTACGAGGTGAGTGCGCTAACCACTACCCTATGGGACTCCACAAAGGTGTAGCAAGGTACAGCGTTGCAGAACAGAGTTATTACACAGCCAACCACGTGCTGTGCCAGATCACAGGTATAAGAGTTGATGGAATGTAGCTTCTGTCAGAGTTGTAGTTTGGTTCCACAATAATTTTTTTAAAAGACCGTAATTATTTAGTGAGTACAAAATAAAATGATGGGGGGTGGGGGCACAGAGCAGGGGGGGTGGGGGATGGGTAGTAAAACACAGATTACATTTCAGTGAGTGTCTCTGTTGTGTGTCAGGACTTGGCTCTGCTTGTTAACCGCTGAAGCCTATCTCACTTTCTACCTGAGGTGCGGTGACGCTGACTGATAGCAGTGGCTTTTGTTTTTCATGGGCAAAGATAAGATCGCACAGCAAGTCCCCCCTCACCTCACTCTGGGGCCCCATGTTTACTCTTCTACTGCCTTACACTTAAAAGTGAAACAGAATCAAGGCTATCTCTCCAGTATGGCCTAAATTCGGAAGCCCGGGTTTTCCACAGTAACTTAAACAAGATTATAAGTTAGAGGTGTCCACCATCATTCCACACCACCTTCAGTTTTAAGAGTTAAACAGTATCGCGGGCTGAGGCTAGCTGGAATTTCAGGTCTCAGACTGTCATGGTATTTGGTGAAAAGGGCAAGGAAAGGAGATTAATCGGAAGATCACCCGGTCTGGATGGGATGCATCCCAGGTTACTGAGGGAAATAAGGGTGGAAATAGTGGAAGCTTTGCCTGCAATCTTTCAATCCTCCTTGGACACTGGAGTGGTGCCTGAGGGCTGGAGGGTTGCAAATGTTACTCACTGTACAAAAAGGGGCAGAAGGATAAACCGGGACTACAGGCCAGTCAGCCTAACGTCAGCAGTGGGAAACTTCTAGAGACTATAATGCGGAACAAAATTAATTTTCACTTAGAAAAATATGGGTTAATAAGGACAGCCAACATGGACTTGTTAAAGGCAAATCATGTCGAACAAACCTGATAGAGTTTATGATGAAGTAACGGAGACGGTGGATGAAGGTAGTGCATTTGTTGTAGTTTATATGGATTTTCAAAAGGCGTTTGATAAAGTGCTACATAAGAGACTTGTAAGCAAAATCGAAGCCCCGGTATTAAAGGGACAGTGGCAACGGATACAGAACTGTCTGGGAGACAGAAAGCAGAGAGTGGTGGTGAACGGTTGTTTTTCTGACTGGAGGGAAGTGTACAGTGGTGTCTCCCAGAGATCAGTATTGGTACCACTGCTGTTTGTGATCTATATAAATGACCTGAACTTGGGTATAGGGAGTACAATTCCCAAGTTTGCAGATGATACTAAGCTGTAAAAGTAGTGAACAGTGAGGAGGATAGTAACAGACTGCAAATGGACATAGACAGACTGGTAACGTGGGCAGACACGTGGCAGATGAAGTTTAATGTGGAGAACTATGAAGTGATGCATTTTTGGAGGAAGAATGAGGAGAGGCAATATACGCTGATGGGACAATCTTAAAGGGGGTGAAGGGACAGAGAGACCTGGGGTCATATAAGGAAATCTTTGCAGGTGGCAGGACAGGGAGATACAGCTGTTAAAAAAGCATCCGGGATACTGGGCTTTATAAATAGGGGCACAGAGT